AAGAGAAGGTCTGCACCAGAAAACATTTGTAAGCAGTCTCTTTGCAGCCTCTATATTCCCTGACATGACCATCATCATGTCTTGTCCTCAACTCCATGACAGACACGAGAGCTTCGCCTACCCCTGAAAATAGATGATGTTCTGGGGTTGTGCTCCTGCAGCTCCACTGGAAATGTCTTCATTCCCTTGGACCCCACTGGATGAGCAACTGGACCCGGGCACACATGGTGAATCACACATGGTGACTGAGACACAAAAACAAGACTCTGCAAAGCTGGGTGAGCTATCAATCCCAAAGTGGGCAGTGAGGTAAAAAAATAAGCAACTCTTTTCCCACCAGTATCATCTCCAATAACACATTACTTCAAGTGTTTTGCAACACTCTGGGACTCATCATAGCCTTTGATGAGCCCACTCAACTCAGTAACCCAACAAAAAGCTAACCCAGCAAAAGAATGGGTTCTGTCAGTTTTCTGAGCAGAGCTGATTTACCAATCAGGCAAGCACTGAAGCAGCAAAAGAGGAATTATAGTAGCACGCAGCCAGGAGCGGGACAGCTTCTTTCAGCAGCAAAGAGCTGGCAAAGCCCATCGTGCAGAACCTCAAGTATAAAGCTCCCAAACAAAGAACCAATTCAGGAAAAGTAGTCACTATAGCACATGCATTTCCTTCTTTTCTCAAGGAGAAAGCCTGCCTTCAGAGCATAAATCAGTGCGTTCAGACAGACCTGTGCCACGGAACCTAACAGCTGCAAGAGGGAAACCTTGATTTTACATCGAGATCATATTAAGGTGTGGATGAGAAGTTCTGTGTTTCTTCAGAGACCAAACAAAGACACGTTCAAATACATACGATATCAGAAAAAATATGTTCTACATGAACTTCGCTCAGATGTGACTTTAGCACCAAATTCTTCCTCCATGTGAGGAAAAAAGGCCTCAAGGCATCTGTAGTTTAAATTATCATCTTCAAACGGTACACGAATCACCTTTCTTTTCAAATTATGTTATTAAATGTTTTCTAATAATGACAAAGATGTAAAAAACATCAAATACGTAATGGCAAAATACCACCAATGAACTGCTGTAGGAAAGGGCGAAGTTAATTCTTTCAAGACTATACAAAATTAATCCTGAGAGCAAAAGCTATCAATTTAGAAACAATTCCATATAAATGTAATCAATTTGACTTTGCTTTGCAATAGAAGCATGTACATATGTACACTACATACAGATTAGTGCCGTACTTCCCCAATTGCCCTCTAAGCTGCTCAAATTAAATATTTATTTCTGTAAACATAAAAAATTTTCTCCTTGAGGGAAAGACACCAAAGTTGACACCATTATGAAATTTTCAGGTAAACTGCTAATTTTCAACAACAATAAAAAAAGGATGCTTTCCCTTTCTTATACCCCATTGCTCTAACTTTGAAGAGTAAAACATTTCCTTTGTTTAATTAAAAAAAAAAAAAAGCAAACACCTTTTTGTTATTTAAAAATACATTAGAAAAGTTGTAGGCATTTCAAAAGGCAGAGATCTGTAACTGACATGCACACATTTGACAATTTCTTAACCTATTCATCACTGAGATATGTTAGAAGTTCACTGTATATTTGCTGAGAAACAAAACATCCCCAGAAAAGTGCAACACACAAGACTTCATAGGGGCACCTGCATTTTTAATTCTCATTTTACCTGACTTACTTCTCCACACTCCTTCAAACTAGTACAGTCCCAGTGCAGCTTTACAAAGCTAACCTCCTCAAAAGGCCAATTCTACAGTACTTTACTTCTGAAATATCACAGACAACATTCCACTGTGCAGACAAAAACTGAATTATATGCTTAAACTTCAGTTTTTTCTGACCTGAGATCTAGTCTACAGGAATAAGTCACATCTATGCAACGCATATAAATCTAGTTGAGTACATGTATCATGGACAGAAAAAAAGGACAAGAAGTTCAATAGGATTTCTGCAAACTTCACAAACATGTTTCAAGAACAGAGCTGACTGCAAGATCAGTTTTAAAAAGATATGTAACTTAGGCACACATATCACAGCAAAAAAAAACACAAACAAGATGACAGCATGTTGTTAACCCAATAACTGAGGCAAAGCATCAAAAAACGAAGGAAGGCAGAGACAGCGCAAGAAGTATCCTAGAATGATACATAGAATTTGAAGATAAAACCAAGAAATTAAAGAGGTTTCAAGAGCAACGGAACAGATCCGAGAGAAAGTTGAACACACAGAGCAGCATAAAGGACTCCGCATGCTTCTTTCTGGCTGGAGTATGTTCTAGGCAAGTCAGAAAGAGGGAATCAGCTTAATGTGACATTTTCATTTAAAGCAGATAAAATGATGGGGAAAACACAAAAATTGTCTAAAATATAAATGGATTTGTTCGTCTGAAAGCTTTGAAAGTCTATCACATCTAAAGCTCTGTAGTCTCTGCACACTTGCAAGCCATTCAGGAAGGCGATGAATCCTCAAACAGCGCTCAGGCACCCACGTTATGCTCTTTTGTTCACAAGGGGTAATTACTCCAGACTGTGGCTCGATGTTAGGCCCACTCAGAGAGTAACTGAAACCAACAAAGCAGGTTCACAGCCTTGCCAGGCATGACAAAACATTTGCTTTAACACAAATATTTGCCAAAAGCAATAAAATGCATATTTCATAACAGCAATACATTGATAAGACCAAACCAAAGTACAAATCATTTGAAGACAGAGTGCGAGAAGAGCACACAGAAAAAAAAAAAAAATCACATAAAAACTTAAAGGGACTAAGTAACAATGTGCCAGAGCAGACTTTGTACATCCTTCACTGTACTGTTCAGGTACTCTCTTGACTATATACAGGAAGGCAGCAAAGAGTCCCTAACCCAATAATATGTGCTAGGTATCATGCTAGCACACCACAGCCTGGGTTTATATGTTTCTTAAGACAGAACACACACCAGTCTCATTCCACAGGCCAGGGGAAAAAAAAAGGAAAAAAAAAAAATCAAGATAACATTAAACTAATAAGTTCACCAGAAATTTAAGGATTTGAGAGTGTGTGTTTTCTTTCACAAGCTATGTAACAGTCTTCAGACACTCTTAAAGCAAGGGGAAAGGCACTCCCAGAGCAGACCACAGCTGGCAGGGGGCAACGCATCTCCCAAAAACCTGCCCCTTAGTCATGAGACCGGGTGAGCACACAACTAAATCCCAAAGCAGCATGGCTGTTGCCAGCTCTTGCTGGCCTGCTTGCTTATTTTCCACTCTTAGGGTTTCAGACTATCAAGGCAGTTCAGTGCTAGCAGGCTTTTTCTGCCCACCACACGACAGAGATCAATCACAGGAACTTGTGTGGAGCTTTTTGCACCTCAAGATCCAAGAAAGTTACCAAGTGGTCTGTCCCACTTTTGGATCAGGCATTGCTTTCCTCCTCATAACAATTTCAGAAATTTAGCTCACCCATACCCCAGCAATACTGACGCATAAGGATGGCATTTAAGTTAAGCCTGCATGGAACCTGCGCATTTGCCAGGACATTCTGAAAGAGCAACCAGACAAATGCAGAAGAAGACTTGGAAGAGAAAGGACCTGTAACCGCACAAATACTTCAGCCAATACCTGCACCTTCATTGCAGGGAGCAACCGAGTTCTGACAAACTTCTATTAAGCTGCTGTAACCCAGAAGAGCTGTTGTGCGTCTCGCTCTAAACAACAGTACTGGCAAGAGTAGTAGCAGTCTAGTCAAAAATATTAATGAGAGGTTGTTTTTAAGGTACAACAAGCCTCGTTTGCCAGTTTTTATGGTTTACAAAGCCCCTTTCACAATTTCTATTATACTGCAGTTCGAGCCGGGAGAAGCCCACGTACAAAGAACAAATCAACCAAGTAAACATCCGAAACGCTGCGAGCCTTCCTTTGGTCCTAAAACGTGGCAACAAAACACCCGTGTGTAACAATTACAGTTAAGTAACACCTAAACACGTAACCTACTTTTGGTGGGCGTTTGTCTCTTGCCGTTTGAGGGCAAGAAACGGGAAAATAAATAAAGGGAAAACAAACCCAAGCAACCGCGACCCTGCGCACGGCCCCCGCTGCCGCGCCGCGGGCGCCGGGCCCAGGGGCAGGGTCGGGGGGCGGCGGTGCGGGCCCTGGCCGGCAGGGGGCGCGGCGCGGGCCGCCGGCGCTGTTGTTGTTGCCGCTCGGGGTATTTAAACGCCGGGCTGTCAATCACGGGCGCCGCGCGCTCCCCGGCGCTCCCCGCACGGCGGGGGCGGCACCGAGCGGCCCCGCAGCCCCGGCCCGGCCGAGCCGCCGCCGCCGCCGCCGCGGGCCCCCAACTTGCTCCTTTGTTTAACTGCCCGTGAATCCCCTCCGCCGCCGCTTCCTCCCGCTCGCAGCGGCGGCCGACGTGCCTTTTATTATTCGCACGCTCGGCTCGCAAAACACACGCGCGGCGGCCGCTCGGGACCGGGCTAGAAACGTCAAAGCGGCGAGGCGCGGGGGGACCCTCTTTCTCCTCCTCGGCCGCCCCCCGAACAAATCGCGGGGGCAGCCCGGAGCTCGCACCCGGCCGGGGACAGCCCCGGTGTCCACACTTCTCCGCCGGGAGACCGCCCTGTCCCGGGAGAGACCCCCCCCGGGGGTGCGGGAGGACATGCGACGCCTCTGCGGAGTCGGCACAACTTCGGGGTGGCCCCAGCCCCGCCAGCCCCGCATCTGTTGCTCTTTCGTAACCGGCCCCCCGCCGCCTGGCCCGGCCCGTCCGCCCCCTCGCAGCCGCGGACCCATGTGCCCGGGGACGGCCGCCGGCTCCGTCCCCGCCGCGGGGGGAGCCGGACCGGGCGAGCGCCCGCCGTTCGCCCCGTGCCGCCGCCGCGCAGCTATTGTCCCCCCCGGCGGAGCGGGGAAGGCGACTGCCACCGCCTGTGCCCGGTGCCGCCCGGCGGCTGCCCCGCCACGCCGCCCGGCGCCGGCGCGGCTCGCGGCGCCTTACCTGCCGTGGAACCAGTCCTTGCAGATGTCGCACTCGATCATGAAGCGGCTCACGTCGTAGGGTTCGCGGCACACGCAGTACACGGGGGTCGCAGCGGCGGCCGTCGCTCCGGCCATCTTTAAAGAACTCCCTGACTGAGCCGCCCGCCCGGCTCCGCTCCTCCCCGTCCCGTCCCGTCCCGTTCCCCCCGCCCCGCTCCCTCCGCCGCGGCCGCGGCGGCGCCGCCAATAACAACAGCGCGCGTGCCGGCCCCGCACGCCGCGCGCGCCCCCCGCCGCCGGCTGGCACGCGCTCGGGCCGGGCGGCACGGGAGCGAGCGGACAACAGCGCGCGGGGGCGCGCGCACGTGCGTCACCCGGCCCCCGTGGAGGCGGGAGGAGGAGGACGGGGACGGCGAGGGGAGGGGGCGCGGGGGGGGAAGCACCGCCCCGCCCGCCCCGCCCGGCGACCGTCCCCGCCGCGCCTGCGCCCCGCGGGACGGCCCGGAGCGGCGCGGACTGAGCGTGCGCGGGCGGGCCGGGATTGGAGGCGGGGAAGGGCGATTTTCCCCCGCGGAGCGCGCGGGGCGGGGCGGGGCGCGCACGTGCCGCCCCTGGCGGGAGGCGGGCCGCGGGGAGGCACGCGCCGGGGCCCGCCCCCGCGGCGTCACGGCGGGCGGGGCGGGGCGGGGCGGGGCGGGGCGCCGCGAGGACACGGGCGAGGCGGGCCGGGGCCGGCGCCGGCTCCGTGCCCCCGTTATGTAACGAGCGCGGCGGCGGCGCCCGCGGCGCCCGGGCCGGGACCGCCCCCCCGAGCGGCCGGTGCCTCCGCGCTGCCCAGCTGCGCCTTGCGATCGCTTGTTTGTCGCCGAGCGCTCTGCCTACGTGTGTGCCGTGTTCCGGTCCATGTCGTCACCCTTTCTTTCAGGACACAAAAGTAACGCTGATGCTTTCATTATGTGTCATCGAGAACAAAAAAAGTAGACTTTAAAACAGAGTTGGTTTTTTTCCCTGCAGCCTTTCAAGGACCTATGGCGATTATATTGTGTGAGGGAATGGAGAGCCATGTCCTCCACACTGGATGCACCAATTTAAAAGCAAAACAATAAATATGTCCGTGTGCATGTTACAGTGATCATAACTGTAATAGACACTGCCTACAGCATTCTAATTTTACAACCCATGGCCTTAACCACTAGTAGCCACAAAAAAGCAAACGCTGTAGGTTTGGCAGAGGGAAGCTCAGAAGTAAATGTTTCCTTTCCAGACTGTTATTGTGAAGCTTGCTAATGTTAACATTTATATAAGACAAGCAACACGAGATGATGACTTGGCAGCAAAATGGACAGCAAAGAAATGTAAAACAAATCCAGCACACAGGTTCTGTGACTGAATGGAGAATGAGATGGAGAAATAAAGGGGTATCTTCAAAAAATACCAGATTCTCGAACCAAGCGCTGATCTATTTAGAAAGTACACAAGGTTCTGACCTGCAGGACATTGTTTGTGGATGTTTCAATACTCTAGTTTTCCAACACACCTCAGTATTTCAGCAATTCAAAATGGGGCCATAAACTCTCAGTCTTCTAAAAAGCTAATGTAAAATTTATTAGGAGCAAGAAACACCAGTAAGGTGAGAAATAACAATTTCAGAGTTTCAGAAAATAATACATACCAAGAGGCTCTGTCATTAAAAATATTGTTTCCCTTTATTAATCTGATTTGAAGACACACGCAGGAAGTTGCTTCTAATGGTAGGGCCTTCAAACTCTCACAGAATCAATTACAGATAAGGTAACAACTGCCAAGAGAACTGTTCTAGTTAGAGTTGTTTTTCTGTGTCTGTGCAACAAAATGTTGGTATGTGTAGCCACTCTGGAGTCTGAAAATGTACATTTCCTTACTCCTTAGTTGGATGTTTCTTACATTGTCAGGGGGTCAGTCTTATCTGGAAGCTGCAGTTACCAGCTGGAGCAATGTCTTTATCCAAATTGGCCATAAAGATGCAGACGTGCTGTGTATCAGGAAGTGTCTGCAAAGGACAAACCCACTGAACCCCCCTTGGTAAGGCACATGGGAATAGGGTGGCTATTCCTGGGAGCTACGGGGTGAGGCTGCCTGACATGGGGAGGAGACCTGTACGGGCTCAGGGTGAATCCAGCAGTGCCGGGTTGGGTGAGGAAGTTTTCACTGAAAAAGACAACCAACCCATCAGTGAGAGTGCCAAGAATGAGGAAGTGTGGGGACCTGCCCTTCACTGGCTTTGATTATGGAAAAAAAAGTTTGCTTGTTTGTTTGTTTGTTTAAAGAGAGTAGTTGTGATCTTAAGCGCGCCAAGTAATGCTTGCTGTTTAATAAGCACTTTGCCTACTGCCACCAAGCAATGTCGTTTTGCCACTGATTTATTTCAGAACAAGGTGTGTTAGTGATTCAGTCTGCTGCACCTTAATCAGGTGGGGAATACCAACTTCATCTGTTGCAAAAAAAGTGGCATAAACCAGCTCCACCTCCCTCAGTCTGACCTGCTGTCAGCTTTTCTCTTTCCAAGCTTTCTTTCAAACAACACTAGGCTATACTTGAATGTAACACAGCAAAAGTTAGGAAAGCTGAGGATCACACAGCAAAACAATTACAAAACCCCTTTTAATAAGTATTCTTTCCAGAAAGTTGGAGAGATTTTCCACGACTAATCTTACTAAACACAGCTCAGAAACAAAACAAAACAAAAAAAAATGCAATACCTACCTTCAATGTAAATAATTAAATGAAGCAAGGTTAAAGGCCAATCCCAAAAAAATTTCAGAACCAAGCTCAGTATTCACAGCTACATGACAGTATCTGAAGACACTTGAGGCCATAGCACTCTCCATTCTTGTCTCCCAACCAGCAAGACACACCAATGTGAAATATAGTGTGCAGATCACCTTCTAGTAGGCAACATAGAGTTCATATGTTTGGCCTTCATATGCTGAGCTCTGACTGCCAAAAGCAGTCACGGCAGCAATGACAGAGAGCTGGGAAAGGCTGAAGAACCAGCTCTAGAGCAGCTGGTAGCTCTGGAAATCCAAAGGCTGGAGGGAAAAGGCTGGAGACAGTGATGAAGACCAAGTGGAAAGGCAGTGAGAATTAAGAAGATGGGAAGAATGAAGCTTGTTTTAGGAAAGGAGAGTGATCAGTGCCACAGAGCATGACTGCCTACTCGCTCACTGATGTGCGGATACTGTCACACTGCCCCGTGCCCCATCTTGTACCCAGCCTACCATCCCCTCAGCAGCTGAGCAAGCCACTTAGTCCTTCAAGCCATGCCCAAACATAATCCTTCCACCCTAAAATCCACCAAAACTTTCTCTGCCCCATCAAGCCCCAGCTCTGAAAAACACAACTTACAGCTCATACACCAAGCAAGTCCCAGCGGCTGCCTCCATCTCCGTGCCTGGATTACAGGAAAAATATTAGAAACACAGTCATATGGGCTGAGGCTGGCAGGGGTGAGTGGCTCTGGCACTCAGAGGTATGGGTAAGTAACAAGCATTGGATATTCAGACACTAAAGTCAGGGTTAGAGACTGGGACAGCAAGGACTTGAAGAGCACCACCTCTGCTTGCTATTCAGGGCAAGCCTGAGTGCTGGTGCTCAGTAGGGCACAATGCTTCTGCTTGTGGTTCAAGGAATGCTGGCTGATAGTTTATCCTTAAGGCTGGAATCAGGCTTTGGGGTAAAAAGGACTTTAAGTGTAGGATTCTTCCTGAATAGTGTGAGGATTGTGCAGAAATTATAAGGTCTGCTCTGCTACCTGTTTCTTATCATTATAAAATAAACCTGCAAAGGCACTTGAGTCACCACATCAAGTGGCTTCCAATGATCCTGTAAGGATGATGGATGTGCTCAGGCTTAAGTTTGGGGAGAAATATTGCTATGGGTGGACAGTGGAAGGTAGAAATGCCAGGGCTAGGAGGAAAATCTTAGGACAGAGGAACTAGAATGATAGGAAGATGATACAGTTGTCTGGTACTCTAATGCATGCTTGTGAATAAACAGGTCAGGTACAGCTCATTGTTGTATGCGTCAATGTGGAGTCAGGATCATAGTGGAGTTTGGGTCATGATGCTAGGTACTGAGTGTGGGAATTCTTCTGTGGTTGAAACTAGCAATCAAATAAGCAGAGTGTATGGAATTCATTCATTCTGCACACTCTACAGAATTAATCTACAGGCACATCATCTTCACAGACAACCTTTGCTGTGCAACATCCTTCATCCACTAGTGTTTTATTTTCTAGCCATTCACAGACTTTCAGCGAGGTCCACAGGGCTGAGGGCTGCTATCAGCATGGAAAAGTGGTTTATTGGTAGCTCTAGAATGCTGACTTATGACTATAGGTGAGGGTCTTAGCAAGAAACCTGTTTTATCAAAGACATAACCACCAGCACTCTAGTAGAGAAGAGGGTATGGGAGAAGAGGGCATTGATTGTTGCACAGTAGAAGTATCCAAAGCCCATGGCTGGCTTTGTGTATCTCCCAGAGCACATGCCATACACTGTACATGTCATAAAGGAAGGATAAAGTAGGAGATTAGGGCAGGGAGGTTGCCAGAAGGGAAAAAGGGGAGTTTTCTGGTACTTCTGGCTGAACCACATACAGGTACCCACAAATATGCCTACTTGTCTCTTGGCAGGAGGGGAGAACTCACAACCATCAGTCACATGATGGTGGCTGTCACCCAGCAGGACATGGACGGCCAAATAAACACCAGAGATGATATCCAGCAGACAATGAGATGGCCCAGCAGCAACTCAGGCTAGGGAGAATCAGAAAGAAAAATCAGACACTGATAGCCATGAAAAAACTCAGATAAACTGCTGGAAAAACATGGGGGTAGAGGGACTTTCCCCATGTTTGGTCATTTCTTCAGTGTTTTTATGTACATTTTGGCAAAACACTTCTTTTTAAAATCACTTATTTTCACATCAATAGGCTTAAGGCTGCTGAAAAACAAAGCTCTGGACTGAAAAACTGTTCCAGTTCTCTGTAGGAAACTGTCTGAAATATACCCAGAATTGGCAGTATGATCTTTGCATCGGCAGAGAAAATACTGAGTCATGTTGTCAGCCCACACACATTTAACAAAAATAAAAGCAGACCAACGATTTAGAATTCTCCCACTCATCATTTAAAGAAAACAGAAGTCATTCAGTCATGCCTCATGCTTCAGA